TCTGATCCCCCTGTGCGGTCATTTCAGGTCCAACCGATGTGTGTTTCACTAGGGGCAGGGCTGGCTCTTCCCACACAGAGTAACTACTCATAATTGTTAGTTATTAGTTGCAAAATAAATACATAGCTGTGTGTTACATCACACAATTCTAAGAAAGCTAAAACAAAGCAAGTAATGGTTGTGCCCTTGTTCGATAATTGCTGTTAGAGCTGAACGAGCCAAAGCAAAGCTCGCAGCTGGCCACAAGGAGCCCAGGTGCACTACAGCAGCAGAGGCCTCACCAGAGGCTGCTCAGCACTTCCTGAGCTGCTCAGCAGTAAGAAAGAGCTATCCAGGGACATGTGAACTTCTCCCACTCCATTGAATGAGTCCTTCCAAGCAATTCCCCTTCCTAGTGCCAAGCTGAGCCAGAGCAAGGAAATGGTCCCAGCACCTCTCACTGGAAACGCACTCTGAGCAAGCATTCTTGCAGGAACCAGGAACTGGCTGCACTTCAGGATGGTTTACACCAACATCTTGGAACTGGGATCAATTGCAAATGTCTTCAGGAAATCACTGTGATGTGGAGAGCCAGAATTGGGAGGGAGGGAGGGAGGCAGGAAGGAAGGCAGGTAGGAAGGCAGGAAGGCAGGAAGGCGGGAAAGCAGGAAGGCAGGAAGGCAGGAAGGCAGGAAGGAAGGAAGGAAGGAAGGGAGGGATGACACACAATCCTGGTGCAGGGAGTTAGAAAATTGGTCTGACATACACAGAAGGCTGAGGTACAGCAGCCTAATAAAACCATCACAGTTTTCTCCATGTTTTGGTATTGTTACTCCTAAAGCATCATCAATTGGTTGAGGTGTGTTTGCTGGCACAAGCAGCACTCTGGGTCCTACTTCTGCAGATCCCTGAGCTCTCAGTGTGCCTCCTGGGTCAGCAGGATTAGGAGTGCTCATGAACAGCTCTGCAAATACGTGGTGGCCCTCATAAGCACCCAACAGCCTCTCAAGACAAACCATTTATAGCCAGTACATTGCAGAACTGCTTGGTGTGCTGCACATAGGTTTTCAATCCATTAGTCTGACGAGAAACCTGTCTTCCTTGGAAGGTCAGGCAGGACCTCCTCCCCTTCTCACAATATCCAGCCAAACACAAACTGGGGTGCTGCTGTACTATTTGGCTCCATCAAGGTGCATTCCCATCTGGCCAAGAGAGGAACTACCTCCATGGATGGCTATGGCAGCAACTTTTCCTCCCAGAAAGCAGAGAAAGAATTGAGGGATTTGGTGGGATGTGTGGGAGACAGCCCATGGTCCCATCCGACAGCCAGCTCTGTATTTTACTTCCAGTACAACAGTGGCACAGTGGCCACCAGAAAAGGGAGTTATGCTTCAGCTTCCATCTACACAGCCTTTAGCAAAATGGCAAAAGTCAGGAGCTGCTTTCTGTTCTTATTCACCAGAGCAGCCGTTCCACCTTCCGTAGGGCCCTTCACACATTCACAGCAATGACCACGCTTGGGGTTTGTGTCTAGATTCATAGTGAAAATTGAGCTTTTTTCCAAAGTGGTGCCTATGAGGGGAAGGCTGGCGAAGCAAAGATGAGTGGAAATGTATACAACACAACCCACAAGTGCTGCAGATGAAGTAGTCAGGGTGCCCGTGTCCATCCACACTGCTTATGTCCACGCAGAAAGGAGTTTGAACGCATCAAAACCTTGGAGTCTTGGAGTCCCATAGACACATTGTAAATGTCAATGAACACAGTACCTGTTTCATGGGTGCTATATAGTATCTGGTGAGGGTAACAGGAGTGCTTTAGCCCTGCACATAGGCATAAAGACGTGAGGAAGTGGTATGAACTGTGAGACTGGGCCACTGTGCATGACAGCAGCCCTTGGTGGCTCCAAGCCTGCCTGGAAGTTAGAGCTGCTCCTCAGCCATGGCTGAGTACAGAAACTGGGGCAGCCTCCAGTCCACGCGATGGTACAGAGGAAAAGCAAGAGCTGAGATGTATGGACCTTGTTGGGTTATCTGCAGGAGGATTCCCAACTTCAGGGTTGGAGGTAGCCATTGTAGCCCACTTGTACCAGGAATGCTGGACTGGTTCAAGGCTCAGACCAACAGCAACAGCAGCAGTGCTCGGGCACAGGTCCTGTCCAAGACACAGAAGATGCATCTGGATGTGGGGTCAGAGGTTTCCCATCCCATGTGAGCAATGATGTGATGACAACAGCCCTTGGTGGAGGCAGAGAAGTCCAAGTGAGTCAACAGGAAAAAAGCTCAAGCGTGGATTCTATGGGGCAACTGGGAGAACCTGAGGTGATGACACAGTCCTTCTTACATGCCACACAGCCACAGGGGGAAAGAGATCAGCGGGGTCCTCTGCATCCCGAAAAGCATGGGGATGCCCAGTTCAGTTCTGCCACGTTTCTTTTGGTTTCTTGTCCACTGATACAGCTTCCTCCAGGGCAAACCTCAGCACACAGAGGCAGCTGTTGGTGCAGAAGGAACAGAACTGATGTTTGTGGAGCTGGGAGGAGCAGGCCCTGCAGCATCTGACCTTGCTCCCCAGTGCTTGGTGGGTTTTGACTTTTGCCTATGAATCACTGAATCTGGAATCTTGGGTTATGGATGAAGAGTGGGGACAGCAAGCAGCCCAAAAATGTCCCAAGTATTGTGCTAGGAACAGGAACCTTCCAGAACAACCTTGATGTGTCAGAACCACAGAATTTATTTAAGCTGACAGACTTCAAGCACCTCAAGTCTTTCTCGCTGTGTATCTCCAACGCAAGTCCTTCTCTGGCTCCATTGCCTGCCTTCCCTTCTCTTGACAAGATTGTCACCCTTCAAGTGAAGGCACTGGTGAGAGCCAATGCCAGGTTACTCCACCAGTCCCTAAGAACTGAGCCGTGATATGACCAATAATCACTGCCAGCATGCTCTTGTTCTTCTCTCAACAAAACCTTGGTCCCATCGAGTCAGTTTGACGTTACAGGAATGGACAGCCCCATTCCCCAACATTGTGTTCATCTCTGTGGGGTTGATTATGGGGTCCAGTTCTACTCAATCACCTGGAAGGCTTCCAAGTCCTCTGAGGCCTCCAGGCACAGACCCGTATCCCAGCACCCAGAGGCTTGGCAGTAGAAATTACCCAGGACTCTTAAATCTGGATGCTGCAGACAGTGAGTGCTCTCCCATACATACAAGAAGCCTGCGAGGCTGTGAGCATCACTGCCCTCTCCCCAGGCTGTGGTGCAGCCACTGGCCCTCCTCACAGGGACAAGATGTCCTGAGCCACCTCTGCCCCTCCACCTCCCCCAGAGGAAGGGCTGGAAGTCAGGGATTTCTCTGGCTCGTAACACATCTCCCCACTTATGCCTGACCTGACACAATGAAAATAACGAGGGCACGGTCGCATCCTATTTTTATTACAACTGACCTGCAGGCAAAAGGATAGAACTATTACATAAACACTCTGATCCATGTATAATATCTTAAATAGAGAAGGAAGTCCAACCAGGGTAAAATACTCTGAAGCTCTGTGAAGCAGGTATGTTCCTGAGCTCCATTTTACAGACAATAAGGCAACATCCCTGCACATCGTCTTTGTGATCATTTTTATACATCTTTTTTCCTATGGTACAAGAAAAAAAAAAGTAAGCAGAGTACACAATGTACAGTTCTTTCACAGCTTCTGAACACTATACACTTATTTTTTTATAAAGATACAACGCAATAAATGGTGCACCCTTAATAGCTGAAATCGATGCATGTTAAACGTGTTCTGCAGAGCAGTGCCACCGCACAGCGCACGCCTGACTCCAACTCATTACTGCTTTAGCCACGCTACGGACCGTGCTCCGATTTAACCAGAGCACCGCTCACTGCAGGACATTCTGCTTTTTTTTTTTTTTTCCTTGCACAGCTCAGCGCTGCCCCACTGGCGCTGCAGGAGCGCTGCCCGGGTTCCGGGAACACCCAGCTTCAGCCGAGCGCAGCTGGAGACGCAGCGCTGTGTGCCCTCTGCCGGGTGCTCACAAGCTTGGCCTGGGCTCTGCGCTTCCCCAGCCGAGCAGCAGGGGCAGGATGCGCTGTGCTCCTGCTGCATCCCGGTGGCACCGAAGTGCGAAGCCCCATCCGGGCAAATCTCACTCCTGCTGCTCTGCACATCCATCCCTCTGCCAAAGCTTCTCGTGGGCTGCTCGCGTTTTGGCAAAGTCGTATCGAGTGCTGAAAAGTGGACAATTCAAACTGGAAATCACAGCCTCCATTGGATCCCCAGCATGCTACTGCATGTCTGAGAGCTGCAGTAGTTCAGAGGGGTAAAAAAAAAAAGTTTTCAGAACTTCAAAAATCATCTCTGAAAAAGATGCCAAATTTAGAAGATAAAATGACAGCTGATCTAATTCATCCAGTCCCAACCCCTGCCACGGGCTGGCTGCCCACCAGCTCAGGCTGCACGGGGCCACCTGTGGCCTCAGGCACCTCCAGGAACAGGGCAGCCACAGCCCTGGGCAGTGCCATTCCAACACCTCGCCCGGTCTTGCTGGGCCAAATGAAAACCCAGGTGTTTGATCTCATCTCTGCTACCTTGTAAGGTTCTCAGCAAGGTTCACTTTAAAGTTCAACAACATGAGCTTCCCAGGGTATCAGCCAAAAGGCGAACAAGGCTTCCAACCAAGCAGAGCATCACATTTGCAGCAGCAAATGGGCACAGACTCAGCATGGCAGGAGAGCCATCCTGCACAGTGCTGAGAAGGAACTGCTGAGCTCTGCCCATGTTAGGGACACACGGGGCTAGGAAGTGGCAGTGCTGCTGGCTGGGCTGTGGGCAGGGAAATGGAGCTAGCAGCAGAGCTGGGGACAGTGAAGAGCATGAGAAACATTGACTAGAAATCGCAGATGTTCGTTTCTGGCTCACTGAAACAGCCACAGACTTTGTGAACGGCACTTGTCGAAGTCAAAGCAAAGCCAGCTGGCGGTGAGCGCTGTGCAGCTATAAATCAGGTCACAAGCGGGTTAAATTCAATTGAGTAGTTTAATAATTCTTCAGATCAAAGGTCTTATCTTACCAGGTAACAATTTACAGGACGCCTAGTTAAGAGCGAAGAGTGGCTGGCTTGGTAAAAGGAGAAAGAATACATTATGTCCCATCTCTGAAAAGTTTAATGTTAGCCTCTTTCAATGCGACATATTTTTGGTAAAGACATATTCACTATATTTAACATGATCTCTCTTTTAACAGGAAGTTCAGCTGAGCACACTGTCCCCAGAAAGTACGCTGCGACTGTAAAGCAACAGAATTTCATAGCGGTAAATCTATTGCACTTTGTGAAGAATAAAATTCTCCTTTGCCTTTCTAGCTCCAGAAGGCAAAGCATCTCGTTGGTTAAGCAAGTTCTTCTCCCTCCAGGCAAAGTCTCTTAATGTTCAGACAGACAACGCCTAACTTTTGTTTGTTTGCTTTTTATTATTACTTGAAACAACAACTGGAAGAATTTGAGAGAAAAATCTTTCCAGTAGCTGCTGAGGAGTCTCCAAGTTTTGAGTCTAGAAATGAATTTTAGGTGCTATCCAATCACGGTCAACAAATAAATGTACTTATTTCCACATTTCATGAATATGTCCACAAAAGAGCAGATGAGGTCTCTCTTTGACCAACACTAACACTGTGTGATCAGATATTACAGGGATGCACTTTATACGTGACAACAGTATACAGACAGGATGGAAATAACACCAATATTATTGCACATGGTGTCTGGGCGAGCATTAAAAACACTGCAATATGTGATGAAAATTCTTTACAGCTTGTTTTCTCTCAGCCCTTTTTCTAGAGTTTGACGTAGCAGCAATATCAATCAACATACATTGGAGAGCTGGGAGTTGCTGGCATTTGATCCAGGATTTTACAAACATAGCATGCAACATCCACTGTGCGTTCCTCATACATCAGAATGAAGGGATGTTTCTGGAATCAGATAGAGAAACAAGCAGGTTACTAAACTCGCCTTTCAGGCTGGATACCCCAGATACAAGCACAGCACATGGACTTGCCTGGTGCAAGACCCAGTGCTTGGCAGTGAGTGCAGGACACCAGGACATGGCCTGGTCCGTGGCTTTTTGCATGTGAGGTATCCTTATCTTAAACACACAGTAAAGAGGTGGGATGAGACTTCACGGGAGACACACTGAAATACTTTCATTAAAGACTTCATCATCAGCCTTTTCAGCAATGAAGAGACAGAAACAACAGGGAGACACGACCTGGAAGGCTGAACAAGAGGTGAGGATCCCAAAACAGTTGTTCTGAACTCTGATCCTCGGGTTTGCCCAGCACAGCAGCTGGGAAATAATGACATGGTGACTGTGGGCCAGGACACCAGGCAAACTCCCTTCCTACAATACCAACACCATCAGGCACCCAGGACAGGTTTCCCCCATTCTCTGCAGGCGTGGCTTCCCAATGCACAGAGTTCCATAAAAATACGTGGCTGCCAAGTGTGACTTATCCAACCCCAAAGCCCAGCCAACCACCTTCCTTCGCAGTGTAGCTCATACATTGGAGGCAGTGGCGTGTGACAGCAATCTGACAGGGCTTCTGAGTGCCCCTGCCAGGATCTCAAGCCAAGGCAGAAGTTGCAGGGCACACCCTACATGTCTTACCCAGTCCTGCACACTTCAGAGACCACATGGGTCAACTATGTCTGGTTAGAAAACCTACTCCAATATGGCACCTCCACCTTCACCCAGCTCCTAGGACTGGGTATTTATGGACAGACACCTACAATCTTGGCCATCATATGAGCCACACAAGCCTTGACAGGGTGGCAGGGAGGCAGTGCTGTCCTACAGGCTGCAGAGCTAAATCTCTGCTTCCATCAGCTGAGAAGACACAAAGATGTGACCCAGCCCTGCTCTGTGCTGCGCACAGCCACAGCAGCTGGGCTCAGCAAGCATGCTCTGCACTCACCAGAAGCTCTTTGTACTTTGGCCTTTTGGACTCGTCCTTTGTAAGGCTAAAGAAAGCAGAAAGAGAATTAGGAAAAGGTAAGGCTGAGGAAATGGTTACAGACATTAAACATACATTTTTACAGCAGATGATACTGAATCTACAGTTGTTGTGGAGGAACTGAGAACATCCCAAATCATTCAAGTCCAGGAACGTGGTTTTCTCCAAAAGTCACCCTTTCCAAGCTGCAAGTCATCACCAGACTCCCTCCGCATACGGGTGGAGATGCTAGCATGAGCACAGACCCATAGTGATCAACAAACCCCACTGAGGATGGGCCGAGGAGAGCTGCGAGCTAAACCACATCGTCCCCCCCAGGGCAGTGGGCAGACAGAGCTCAAACAACACTCTCGATAATGGGGGGTCGATTCTGGGTGGTCCTGCAGGAACAAAGAGCTGGATCGATGATCCTAACGGCTCCTTCCAACCCGACACATTCAGGGATTCCACCATTCTACAATGCAGCCTTGCCATGCAGCTGCCATCTCCCCAGCACAGGCGCAGCTCGCTGGCTCCTGGCCTGCAGCATGGGGCACAGCCGGGCTGTGGTGGGACAGCAGGAGGCAGCAGAGGCCACCAAAGGCCCCACAGCACTGGGCACACAGACAAGGCCCGACCAGCCACCCACTGCTCCCTCAACTTTCTAACATTAGCAGAAATAACATTTTCTTGCAGATCTATCACAACCAGCAGACAGCAACACTGCACGACTCCTCTGTCATTTTTCCTGACTCTTCACAGAAACAGAAATTATTAAATGCACATTCGTAGGGTGATGCCCCAGGGATCAGTGCCATCACTCACCACCAGCACAGCCTTTAGGAATAGTAGTGCTTCACCTGCAGGCTTACTAACATCAGCCTGTGCTTAACTCAAAGCTACTAAGAAAAATGTCTGTTACAGCGTTGCTATGAGGACACCATAAATATCCCAGCAGAACTCTTCACAAAATTAGATTAAGCAAAAAACAGACTGAAAACTGTTCCATGCTCTGTGCACTGCGACTGTCCCAGAGCAGCAGGCCCTGGGAGCTGTGAATGGGTGGGAAGGACAAACGGACCAGTGAGACACTTTTCCAAACACTGCTGTTCAGCACAGATGCCATGCAGGTTCCTCTCTTGGGTCATCTGGAGCCAAATCCAACAGCATAAACGGGCAGGAGAGCAAGCTCTTGCTTTTAGCACCCTGTTACGACACTGCGACTCTACAGAGGAGTGTGTGGAAAACCTTCTATTGCCTGTACTGAATGTGGCAGGGGAAAGAAACACTGACTTTCTGATACATAGTTTTTCTGCACACAGTTTTTGTCTGAAAAATGAAAACCATTTTGATGTTTCATTTTCTGCAGTAAGAAGCTCTTATTACAGACACTTGGAAAACAGAATCTGGATTCTGAACAATCCTAATTCTGAAAGACAACACAATCCAAACCCAAACCCTGTTCCACTTTGAACCTGAACCCTTCACTTCTCTGGTGTACTGAAAATATAGAAAAAAGATCTCTTAAAAAGTAAAGAACTCAAAAACCTCCCATCACCTTCCAAAGAAGAGAAATGTGAAAATAAAATCCTCAACCCCCTGCTGGTGCAGGAACATGGAACCAAGTGTTGGCACATGACTTGACAAATACTTTGCAATGACAAAAAAATCCAACTCCAAGTGCTTTGAGTAGGTAACACTTACCACAAGTTGACGAAGTTGATGAAACTTGGGGAGAATTCCCTTTCCTCTGAGTTACTCAGCTGTGGTGGGTCTCCTTTTACTACCTGCGTCAACTGGTCAAACACACTGTTCCACTTGGGGTATGGGAATCGCCCTGTGGCCAGCTCATACTGCAAGAAGACAGTAACAACAGCAGATAGGTTACACAATCCCAAGTCCCTTCAGGGTAACAAAATCTTTACAAGGAGCCTGAAGGTCCCAAAGGAAAATTAAGATGAGATTCTCCCTCTTATCTCCTACAGCTGAGAGTCCAGCTGAGAGAAAGACAAGGAGTTCTGCTACCTACATCATGACTGTGTCCTAACTTACCCAGCCAATATTTAACCTAGCTATGCTGAATTTTCATGTGGTCGATGTCTCTCCTCTACTGACTATAGAATGAACCAAGGGTCTTTTAAAGACACTTCAGAAGGGTGAAAATAAAATCCTCCAGTCCCTTCCCAGATATCATAATAACCACCATGGAAAAGGGATCCTGAGAAAACAAGCATTTTAAAACGGCTGAAGGGAGGGCAGCCCACTGATAGAAGCTACTGACTCACTGCTTCTGATTTCTCTTCTACTTCACCACCCTAAGAATGGGAAAACTTCTCAAGCAGTGTTTGCATTTTGCAGTGTTGTGGTTAGTCAGAAATCAGCAACTGGGAACCAGGATTAACTGACAAACTGCACAGCTGGATTACCCCAGACACCAGGGCTGTGAGAGGCTTACAAAGGCTGGGTGCTCCTTCTGCACCACCACGATCACCATCCCTCCTCACATCAGATTCTGAAGACCAAATTCATTTACAATCCAGCACCTCTTCCCAGCTCACATCTCTACCTCTGGCTATGGCTGCAGCTAAACGTACCCTCAGGGGTTCAGGCAAGCCATGTGCCTTGAAGGGATTTATATTCCTTCCGAGCCAGGAGGTGCCCAGTTCATAACATGTTTCACTGCAGCAGAGCCGGGCTTCACTTCGAGCACATTTGACAACAACCAGCTCTGTCACACTGCCAAGTGTGTGACACCCAGCAGGGAACTGCCATGCAGCAGAGGGCCTGAGCCCTGCTCACTCACCAATGTAATCCCCAAGCTCCAGACATCTGAGCGGACATCATAGCCTTGCCTGGACGCGCTGGGATCTATCCTTTCCGGCTGGAACAGAAAGAAATAACATTCAAGCACTGCGCCACACAGGACAGAACGAGACACATCTGCAAACTTGGGAAACAAAAGTTCATCCCACCAGGATGACATTCAACCCCAACAGAGAAACACCTCATGTCCCTGAAAGTGTTCCAGACCTGCAGAGATGTGGCGCTGAGGAATGTGGTTTGGCTGGCATTGCAGTGATGGGATGGTGGCTGGATGTGGTGATCTCAGGGGTCTTTTCCAGCCTCAATGACTTTATGATTCTGTGACGTCTTCATGTTATCAGGCCTTCAAATATCCAAAAGATCTTCCCACAGAAAACGTGGACAGCAAGGTGGACCCCTGCACCCCAGAGTGATCAGGGAGCAGGACTTTCTCAATGCTTTGCATGTCATCTTTATGAGAATGCCTTTTTTTATCACAAATGTAATAATTAAAATGCTAAAAGAAACAGAATCACATTCTGATTTGACTGCAAACAACAATAGAGAGACCTGGACTGTAATTCAATACTAAATTATCAGCTGCAAGAAATATTAGGAAAGCCCCGACTGCTCTGTGAGCTGCATTTCCATAAGATTTCACGACAGATGCATACTGATGAGCGCCATGCAACCAACAAAATCCCTTAGTGCAACCTCAAACTTCCAGTGGACCACTGCGTGTGTGAGAAAACAATCAGGTCCCCACAGCAGCTCCCTAGCCCCAGAGCCCAAGACAATTTTGGCTGCTCTGTCCTGCTGCTAGCTTTCCTCTTTGCCACCCTCTGCTTGCACAAAGCAGCCCCAAATGTGCTTCCAAACCCTTTCCTTTACCTCACTCATCAGGATCTTCTCTAACAAGGGCACACACTGAGGTCACCAATCAAACTATCAAACATACCCCAAAGAGAAAGGGAAGAAGTCATTTTCAGCAAGATTGACTGACTCTACACGTCTTTGTTACCTTCCTGTTTACACAACGACTTGTTAGATAGGGTATCACCTTCCCAGTGCCATCGGTGTGTTTTCTCACCCTCTCTCCCAGTTACAATATCTGCTTTGAAACAGGCTGGGTTTAAATGCCCTGAATGCTGTCTTTCAGGGTCACAGAATCACAGAATCATTAAGGTTGGGAAAGACCACTAAGATCATCTGGTCCAACCATCAACCCACCCCTCCCATGCCCACCAGGCCAATCATGGGCTGCCTGAAGAAAACGTGGGGCTTTGTGGGTTAACAGGTAACGGCAGTGGGAAGGGAAAATGCAATCTAATATTCTCTGATGGTTTCGAGATGCTGGAATGGTCTTCTTGGATGGATCAAATACTACAAAAGGAAACATGTAAGAAATGGGTTAGAGGGCAATATTAGTGGTAGGTGGCCAGCTGGACGAGATGATCATAGAGGTCTTCTCCAACTTCTGTGGCTCTGTGATTCTATTATTCTTTCCTGCCCTCTTAGGTCTGTATGTCGCCTTGTTTTCTTATCCTTTAATTATGATTTTCATTTGTTTTAACCTCATGTTTTAGATTTTCCCATTGATGGGGTACTGCTGGATGGATTTTAAGATAATCCTGGTGGAAATGAGCATAAAGTAATAAAATTGGTAAAATTAAACTCTCTTGAATTATCAGTTCTTCATGTACTCACCTGGAAGCTCAGTCAAAATCTATCACATTTGCATTACACATAAACCCATGCTTCTGACTTCTCACAATCCAGAATTCTATCCTGCCTGGATAACCACAGTCTTTTCATATTGGTTTCCCCATTTAAACAGAGTACTGAATCAAATTATAAGGAATTAACAGCTAACACAAACCCTTTCTTTTACAGGTGGAAAACAGAAATGTAAAGACAATTTCTCCAACATTTTGAACCTGAGATAGCAAGGAAAACATCCCAAAACAGTAGAAGGGATGAGGATTTAAATGGAAAATGTACTCTGAGATCCTGTCACTCATTGATTTGAGGGGAAGAAGGACAGATAGCCGGTGACCATTCAGGATTTGGATGCTCTTGGACATTTCAGGAAACTACTGGAGATTTCAGCCAGAAGTAAACCATCTAAAGGAGGAGCCAGTGGGTGCACAGAACACTGGTTCATATTCAGGCTCGAGAAGAACAAGAGGAACTCGTCCTTCTACTCTGCTCAGAAGTAACAGGTCCAACCAATCCAAAGTGCTCTCAGCGCATTTCCATCAACAGTCCAAAAAGGAAATGGAAAATGCCAGCACAACAGAGGACAGAAGAATGTGGCATCAACAACATGCAGTGTGGAACCTTCTGCCATGGAAGAGTTTCTGGTGACTCTCCCATAAATCTCTCAAGGACGATGCTGTGTCTATCCTGTCCATTCTCAATGTCATGCTGTAGCTGCAAACCCCCACAGCCTTGTCTGCCCACAGCTCCCACACAGCCCCCTCCGGCATGTCTGATCAGCAGACACACAAGAATAGCCTGACTCCATCAGCTATGAGCAACTGAGTCCCAGCCCAATGCCACGCCAGGGTACAGCACTGCTGGGACTGTGGCCCCATGACTCTACTGCTTTCCCTCTGTGCAAAGCTCTCCTTACCTCCATCCCTCCTGCCAGACCCTGGGGGCATCATGCTGCCTACCGGGTTCCAGCAGCAGGTGGGAAGATAAGATCTCTGAGGTCCCTTCCAGCCCGAACCTTTCCATGATTCTGTTCTATGATTCTGTAAGTCTGAAGTACCCACACAGGGGCAGCCACCCACCACGAACACACAGAGTGTGACGGAGCAGCAGGGACTTGGCTCTACATAGCCATGGCACAGCTAAAGGCAAAGCACGATGGACCAAAATAAATCCCCTGTAAATACAGAGCAAAAAATCCTGGGCATTTTCCATGTAGAGGACATGGGAGCAATCAGCACCAAGCACTCAGGGACCTGGGATGAGAACTGCAGGCAAACCTCAGCTCTTGCTGGATGTCTTGCTAACGCCAACTGCAAGCAAGGAAAGGAAATGGCCAGGGCAGACCAAGCCCTGGATGTGCTGCTGACTGTGTGAAGAGGCAGAGTAAATACAGCACAGGGACAGCCTGACACAGGGCTCCCTTCACTTAGTGCCCACCTGAGCACCAGCATCTGCACTGACAAAAGAGCAGAAATGGGAAATGCTGATGCTTCCCTCTCTTCCCAGCCCCAGATAAGCAGACACGTGCAATTTGGGGTGGGACACAAGAACAGATGCACATACAACTTGCTGCATTTCTCAGTTGTTTCATGTTGCTGAAGAACAAAACAGTATTCCTAGGAAAACAAAATTCTTGAAGCTCAGATTTGGATTTTCACTAGTTAAATAATCAGGGAATTTCTATCCTACACACGCTGCAAATTCAAAACTGCCTGCATGGCACGAAACTGTACTTAACACATCCTTATTTGCTACTTAAACCAACACGTTCCCAAAGTAGAAGACAATAAAAAGGTTATAAGGAGTGAAGAACTACCAGAAAGCAATCCGTGGAATCCAAAATACAGAACAGAACTGACAGGATGTAAATGCTCCCTCCCCTTCCACCACAGAAACACATGGATGTGAGCTGAAGCTGCCAGCCTCCAGTGCAGCCCACCTGCCCTCAACACAGCAGCACGCAATGAGAAACACTGGACGTGAAGCCCAGGGACTGCCCTGCCTTTGGTGGATGATGGGAGCAGGTAAAACCCTGCACATCTGGAAGCTGCATGTGACGGCTGCAGATTAGAGCTGTCTCTGCCAAATTCTGCTACACAGCATACAGTGAGCTACAAGCCAGCAGCCAGAACTAATAGACCTCCACGGCTCCAACAGTGACTGGATACAAGTCTTGCATGCAAGAGACAGAGCTCCCCAGCACACTTTTCTGCTGCTTTGTTAACCAGCGGATCAGATATGTTTGTGTTTAGGCAGTGCTCCAGAAAGTGCTGTTTTCCCAGCAGTGATAACCCCATCACCACGGCTTTCTCATCAGCAGGGCTGTGCCCTGCGAGGGCTCAGTGCTCACAGGGAACCACGTGTCACTGTGCAGAGCCACAGCAGCCTGTAGGGCTGTGCAACAGCAATGGAAACCATCTTTAGGAGCATAAATAAACAGTTCGGGAAATTCTTCTGCTGTTCAGTAAAGGAAAATGCTGCCACTCCCTTTTCACGTTGCTGTATTTCTCAAGAATATTCCTGCAGCAAAGAGCAATTTGTTCTTCCTTTAGGGCTCTCCCTGCACAGGCCTCACACAATTGGTTGTGTTGGAGTTGGAGCAATGGCCAACCTCAGCGAAAGCCCAGGCCGGGGGAAGCAGTGTGCTGAGCAGGGCAGCAAGGGAGCACTGACCTGCTGGGCTCCCACACCTGCTCCTCTGCTAACTCCTCCAGAGTGCCAGCATGCAGTCTCACCTGCTCACCAACACCTCCAAATGTTTTATTCCACAAAGGAGCTCCTTCCTTGGCCTCTCCCCAGGCTGGGCTCACCCTATGGTTAGGAGGGCCCTCATCTCTCACCTCCCCAGAGCACGCTCACCTGGCTAACCTCTTAGACAAGGGGAAGCCCTGCTGTGCAAGGTGTCTGTGCCCAGAGTCCTCCCTGCTGCCTCCTGAGCAGAGCTGGGTGCCAAGCAGCAGCCCTGTACAGAGACACAAAGCAGCACCCAGCTGCTCCTGCTGGTGCTGGTGCTGCTCTGCAGGATGACTCGGGGCACTCTATGAGGTGACACTGAACTGTGCTACTGGCTGCTAAAGAGTTGAGGTGTCTAATTTCATTTGGATCTTGATTTTTACGTGCAGTGAAGCCCAATAAGCTTCCTGGATCTCCTCAGAGGCCTGAGGGCTCTCAGAAGGTGACCTCAGTGCTGCATAAGCCTTGCTCTAAGAACACAGATGTGAGTCATCCACACAAGGAGTGAGACAACACAACCACATTTTTCTCAGGTTATACCCTTCCTGCCCATCAGGTGGCTGATGAGAAAGTGATTAACTCTTTCTTTTCTCTGGTCTGTATCGCAGAGCCAATCACTACAGGGAT